AATAAATATATAAATATGTTCCTTTTAAAAAAATATCTATATTTTATATTGTTTTACAATTTTATTATGGAAGATTTTATTATTTTATTTCAGGACAACAATGAAATTATTAATTCCAATTACGATTCTAGTTCTCATATATCAATAGGAGAAACTAATAGTGAATCTAAAACTCTTGTTAGTATTTTATAGATTTATAATAGTTATATAGACATTTTTGGATTAATAATATTTTTTTAATCATGCCACATAATTTTAGGATGAAGTTTCACGCTGGGGTATTGCTAAATTTTGTGTTTTACTGATGCCTATACTATTAAAACATATTAGCTTTAATAGTGAAGGAGCTTTTTCTTTGTTTATGTCCAGCATGCATCTTTTATCATCCATATCTAATAGCTGTAATGTTAAGTTGTACATAGAATTAATATTTGCTGATCATACAATAAAAAATATACGATTGTAAGTTTTAACGTTAAAATAAAAATATGCACCGTTAATTTAAAAAAAAAAAAAACTATTAATTTTATATTTACCAAAAAATTTTTTTAGAAATGAACCTCTATCTTCACTTAAGTTTTTAATTATTGCCAAGGAAATATTAAAACATGGTTCGCCTAATGAGCAATTTAAAATAATTATTTGTGACATACTTAAACAACCATATTGGATTCATCTTTATCCTGAATTGTACCACCAACTGTATCAAAAATGTATTAATGTGAGTTGTAATTTAATTGGTTTTTTAAAATAGAACCTCGCTTTATTATGTTGTATAGTAACTAAAATATAATTTTCTTATTTTAGGAAGAACTGTTAGAACAACAGATTATTAAAAAGGTCAATGATGCTTATATTTTATCATCCACTTCCAATTTAGATATAAAACAGTTTGCAAATTTATTTAGAAGTTCATTACCTATTATATCTTTCCTTAAACAGTTTAATTTGATTGATAAATTTATTACAAACACTTTTAGATATGGGTAAGTAGCATACACTATAGTAATCTGTCAAAAAGTTAATTTTAAAAAAAGTTGAACAAAATGTCCAAAAACACAAAATTTTCATTTTTAATTATATTATTATGTAGGTATTTCATATATAATTAATATTCATTTAAAAGTGTATTTATGATTGATATTATTATTTACTATATTAATATATTATGTTTGAATTTGATGACTATTCTTTATACTTACGTTTAGTTAAAATTTACTATTCAAACCCAATCAATCACAACCAATTTCAATAATAATCATTTAAAATAAGTTATGTTTAAGAAATGTTGAATATAAACATCCAGTCACTCTACAATAATAATAAAAATTGAATATAAAATATGTACCAACTCTTAAACAATGACCTGTACGACTTAAAAATTCTTCTATTGTCGATTCATGGTTGCTAATTATTTTTATGTATTTGTTTACCTAATAGTCCACAATTATATTAAATTCAAATTACCAAATTAATTTTTTTTTTAGTTATTATTATATTATTATTATTAGCTTTTAATATATAACTATTACAGCTCAAAAGTTACAAGTACTAAAAAATATTAAAGTATTAAAATTATTTATACATAATACCTATACACTTACAAATAAATTATAGAATTATCAATAAAAAGCGGGTAAGTGGGTTTTGCTCTGCTGTTTTTTTTTTTAAATTAGGGGGTGGGGTGGACCTCTGACTAGGGTAGGTTAAATTTGAATGCAGTGATAATAGGTATCATTGTATACGAAAAACGATTCTGAACGGAGATGGTTTATCTGACTAGGGTATATTATAGATCATTAAAAATTTTCAAATCTTAGATTTAAAAAGACAATTTTTTATGAATTTCTAGCTTAAAATAATTTTTAAGTATGTTGTCAAAATTAAAATTTAAATGCTTGTAAAACAAAAAAATGTGAGTATGCATCATTTCTTTTATTTTTCAACTGCTATAGTAAAAATATTTAGGAGCTTTGTATTAAATTTTCAAATCTTAGATATAAAAGGAAAATTTTTTATGAATTTCTAG